AATAGTTCTGAGCAGAGAGTAATAGTCCTAGTTTCTGGTTACTTTGTGCCCATTTCTCTGTTTCTAAAAATACCACAATTTCCTTGCATGGAGGCGTTTTCCCCCCTAATGTGATCTTCTTGGGAGGAGCTGAGGGCATCCTGAAGTCCCTTAGACTGCCACCTCACACGTAAGGATGGAACCAAATACTGGAAAGTCCCTCCGATTGTTCAAGCCGCCCCACCTGTTGCTATTAGCACTTTAGCAAAACCTTTTACTGGGCATGTTTCCTTGATTGGAGTTTGGAGGCCGGGTTAGTATGAGAGACCCGAAAATGAGGTGTGACGTTGCCCAGAGAAATAAAGAGAGGGGAACTGAGATGTGAGGGGCCCCCCCGCCCCACCATTCGCCTGACGACCAGTGTTATGTGCAGGAGGAGGCTGAAGTCCTGTGGTGTTGGACTGGTCCCTTACTCCAGAGACCACATCTGTGTTGATGCCTGCCCAGCCTCTGTCCCCCCTCTTCTGATGTCAGCAGTTCAGAGTTCCCGTGGGAACTTTGCTCTCGCTCTCTTTCTGGGCCATTCAAATGGGGCTGAACTCCCCTCCGCCTCTCCAGGGGGACAGGTGCATGGTCCAGCTGTGGCCACTTGGCCAGGTCCACCCTCTTGAACACTGAAGTTGCTGTGGGAATGGTCACATGACCCCAGCAGGCCCATAGGACTTGACTCTAGGAATCATTAGGCTGAACCCATTCTTTTTAACCGTTCTGGATTTGTTTCCGGCTTTGGAAACGGAGTGCTAAGGTCAGGGCTAACTCTGCCAGCACAGCCCAGACAAGGCAGAAAGAACCTCATCTACATGGTGCTGTTTGAGCACCAGCAGGGCCTGAAAGTTGTAGCCCTGGAATTCCTCAGTGACGTGAATCAAGCAATTTCTTTGTTTTTATTTCCTGCTAAGACATTTTGAGCTGCCTTTCTATAATTTTCAACCAAAGGAGTGTGATGGATGCACCCGATCCCTGAAGTTGCAGGACCCAGCTGCCTGCAGCAGGAGCCAGGCCTAGCCCTCCGCGTCCCCGGGGCAGGTTTTGGTCATGAGCTCATGAACATAGGAGGTCAGGCAAGTACAAGTAGGTTTGCGAATTCATCCTAGAAAAAGTCCTCATACCTCACTGCTGATTATCGCTATGGTCACCTTCGAAGTCCTCTCCTTGGCCATCCGGTGACCATAGTGATATTCACAGTGAGGTTTGGAGGACTTTTTCTGGGATGAATTCTCAAACTTAATTGTTACACCTCATGTGGCTGCAGCTCTGATGGCCAGTCCGGAAAAAGAGTTCCACAATTGCTTTGAAGGGTGGCGTTGGCGCTGGCATCAGGGCATAGCTTTCCAAGAGTCATACCTCGAAGGTGACAAGTGACATTCAGCAAGAGGCTACGTAGCCCTTTTTCTAGGATGAGCCCACACATTAATTGTCCGACCTCGTCTGTGGTTGGTTTTCACAGTGTCTCTCCCATCTTATCCTCGATCTCCTGCCCTGGTTTCATCCCTTCTCGCTGGGTTCCTGTCCTGCCCTTCCACCCTGAACTGCAGGAGATCTATTATCACTCTGTAAATTGGGAGAGTAAGCCGCTCCATCCTCCTGTCTGGTATCTCTCTGTTAAACTAGTTAATTTTGTGGGTGGTCTCATCTTATTAAGTTCTTAGCCAAACAGCTCTTTAGTTTTTTTCTTAATTCCAGACTCGGACCTGAGTGGGTAGGGGTTAGGAGAATTCTGACGTCAGTATCATTACATATTTAGAATTTCCCTTCCTCTCCCTGACTGACCAGGCTTTCCTCTGTACGATCTTGACTTCTGTTCTTAGATATTCCTGACTTCACTGGGCTGCCCCTGGTCACAGCCACATAGAGGATCTTGCCAGGCCACCGATGAACACGGGTGAAGCTCAGCCTGGCTCCCATGTCTGAGAGGGTCTCTTTTAGGACCAGCGTTTAGGGTTGGACTTCCTCTTTCTTTGTTAGTTTGTGGATCCAATTTTTCTTTTATAGGTTTTCCTGAGGCGAATATCACCACCCGATCTGTTGCTGAAGAGGAAATTAATTACTTTGAGCAAAATTGACTTTTGTGAAGGCAGAGCTAACATGCACATCTATCACTCAACACTGGGGCAGCAGACGCTGCTGGTTGATCATTGCAAATGAATTTCCCTGGTTTCTTCCTTTCTCCCTGGGTGCAGAGCCCCACTTTGTTTAGTGAGGGCAGACGCTCTATATTTACTTTTCAGCCTCCCTTGTAAATAGGGCACAGGCTCATGGCTTACTCCAGCTAACGGAGGCTGAGGGGACAGAAGCTTGCGAGCAGCTGCTGCGGATTCTGCCTCCTCCTCCTTTTGATCAGCTTTGTTAAGGTCTAGTTAACACACTGTAAGCTGCACATAGTTATTGGGTACAATTTGACAAGTTCTGACATACGTACCTACCTGAGAAACAATCACGACAATCAGGGTAATGAACAGACTTATTGCCATCCAGATTCTTCTGGCCCTTAGTAATCTGCTCCTCCTTCCTCTCTCTGTCCCTCTCCCCCAAGGTACCTGATTTGCTTTCTTTTTTTTTTTTTTTGCAGTTTTTGGCTGGGGCTGGGTTTGAACTCTCCACCTCCGGCATATGGAGCTGGCGCCCTACTCCTTTGAGCCACAGGTGCGCCCTGATTTGCTTTCTTTTAATATATATATGTTATGACAAATGAATTAAGGTACTATGCATTTTTTTTTGGCTTGACTTCTTTCTCTAGTCGTAATTATTCTGAGATTCATTCACGTCCATGTCTAGGAGCTCATTTCCTTTCATTGCTGAGTAATGTCCCCTGGTACGAATCTACCACTGATTCATTCATCCATTCTCCTGTTGGGTGAATGGGCATGTGGGTTGTTTCCAGTTTGGGGAAATTGCAACTGAAGCTGTAATGAATATTCATGTACAAGTCTTTGTGTGGATGCATGCTTTCATTTCTTTTGGGTTAATGCCAAGAAATGAAAGGCCTCTGTCATGCGGCTGATGTATGTTAAATTCTGAAGAAACTGACAGCCGTCTTCCCAAGCAGGTGAGCAAGTTTGTGTTCCCGGCACTGTGTGAGATTTCCAGTTGCTCCACATCCTCACCAACACTTGATAGAGTGATTCTTTTTAATTCTGGCCATTCTCTCAGAATGTTGTATCATTATTTTATTGTGATTTTAATTTTAATTTCCCTGATGATGAATAACATAGAGCACCCTCTCATATGCTTACTTGCTATCCATATCTTCTTCCATGAAGCATCTGTTCAAATCTTTTTGGGTGGTTTGCTTTCTTACTATTGAGGTTTGAGAACTCTCTATATGTTCTGAATATAAGTCATTCTATACAGGATTTGCAAATATTTTCTCCCAGTCTGTGGCCTGTCTTTTCATTCTCCTGGCACAATCTTTCAAGAACCAGACCTTTAAAATTTTGGTGAATATAGTCATGCCAGCTTTCTTTTGATTAGTATTAACACAAATACTGTCCTATTTTAATCTATTTGTATCTTTGTGTTTAAAGTGGGTATCATGTAGGCAGACCAAGTCTGGCTTTGCTTTTTTACTTAACATCTCAATTTTCGTCTTTGAATGTTCAGACCATTTATAGTTAACATGAATATTGATATGATTGTGTTTAAATCTATTCTTTTGCAGTCTCTATTTGTCCCTCTATATTTTGTTCTCTTTTCTTGTCTCTTTTGATTAATTAAATTTATTTGGTTCCATTTTATCTGCTTCCCCGGCTTATTAGGTATAACTCTGTTATTTTACTGATGACTCTAGGTTACATAGTATAGATCTTTAACTTATCACAATTCCTTCAAATATTACACCACTTTACATGGAGTGTAAAAACTTTACAATTATAAACTTCCATTTCTCCACGAGAGGAATTATTTTGTCATGCCTCTGACTTCTGCAGCACTTACTATAAGCCCCACAGTACACCACTGCTATTTTTATCTAATTAGTCATTTTATCTTTTAAAGAGATCAAATACAAGAAGAGAACGTTGTATCTTTTCTAAGAGTCACCATTGTGCTTCTCATTCTTTTGTGTAAATTCCAGTTTCCTTCTGGTGTTATTTTCTTTTGGCCTGAAAGACTCCCCCTCACATTTTTCTATAGCTCAATTCTGGTGATTAGGAAATCCTGTGTTAATTTTGCCTTCACGTTTGAAATGAAATATGCGTTCATATTAAACACCCCCACTCCAAGGAGACCTTGTGGTTAAGGCTGCTGCCACCCCAATGTTCCACGTCCTCTGCTTACCCATGGGGCTGGTGACCCTTGTGACTCAGTTTACCTAAGTACACACATTTCTTTATGATGAGAACTTGACAAGAACTATGGCAAGGTATCTTACGCGTCCAAAAACTCAACCCAGGATTCTGAAGTGAGACAAGAACCAAGGCAGAGTCCTAGGTGGAATATGCCATCATTCCTTTGGTGCTGTTGAAATATATTTCAAACAGGAAGGCAAAATTATTCACTGGTTATAAGATGTTAGGTGGATAAATTTAGTTTCTTTTCATTTCTTTAAAGATACTGCCCCACTGTCTTCTTCCTGGCATTATTTTTGATGCAATGTTGCTGTCATTCTTAGTTTTTGTTTGATATATAGCCTGTGTATATATTGTGTATACATATTATGTACTTCCCCCTACCCTGTCCCCCCCTCCCCCCAGGCTACATTTAGGATATTATCTTCAGCTTTGTTTTAAGCAATTTAATTATAACATCTCTTAATGTCTTCATGTTCCTGGTGCTTGGGGTTCATTGAGCTGCTTAGATCTGTGAGTTTACAGTTTTCATAAAACTTGGAAAATTATCCGCCATTGTTTCTTCATGTACAATTTCCGTCCCCGCCGTTCATTCTTTTATTTTCAGGGACTCCAATTGCATACATATTTAGGCCTTTTGAAACTTGCTGATAGTCTGTTTACTTTTTTTTTTTTTTAAATATGGAATGCTTCATGAATTTGCGTGTCATCCTTGTGCAGGGGCCATGCTGATCTTCTCTGCATCATTCCAATTCCAGTATATGTGCTGCCGAAGCCAGCACAGTCTGTTTACTTTTTTAAAAATTGTTTTGAATAATTTCCATTGCTGTGCATCTATGTTCACTAGTATTTTCTTCTGCAATTTCTGATCTTCCATCAATCACATCCAGTTTATTTTTCACGTCAGATATAGTTTTCATTTTTTTTAGATAAAACTTGCTCTGCTTTTTAAGACCTATCTTCCACACGTCTACTAAAGTGATAAACTCTGTTTTAATGCTTTTGTCAGCGATTCTAACATTGGTGTCAGTTTTGGGTCTTTTCAGTGAATTGATTTTCCTCCTAATTTTAAAATTTACATTCTTGATGCTTTATGTATCTGGCAATTTTTGATCAGATGCCAGACACTATGAATTTTACCTTTATGGAGGCTGAATGTCTTTGTATTTCTACAAACTATTCTTGAACTTTGTTCTGAGACTCAGTTCCTTTACATAAGAATGGTCTGATCCTTTGGATTCTTGCTTTTAAGATTTGTTGAGCAATATCAGAGCAGCTGATAGGTTATTTAGGTTAGAGCTAACTATTTCCCAGTGCTAAGACCCATGTTATCTCTGTGAATGATGAAGTTTTCCAACCTGACTGGTGGGAAGAGGTCCTGTTCCTGGCCTCGTGTGAGTACTAGGTATGGTTTCCTCTGCTCCTTTTGGCTGGTTTTTTCCCCAGGCTGCCCTGTACAAATCAAGCTCCTTTGTTCTCATCAAACCCTCAGCTCCATCATTTCAGCTCAGAGAAGTTTACTGATTTCCACTTTAATCCCTTCTCCCCACCCCAGCACCCAGAAATCCTCTCACAGCTGTAGAGGATTGGACAACCATGAGCTTCCCTCATTTCCAAACTGGACAACCATGGAGCTTCCCTCATTTCCCGTGGTTCTTAGGAACCATTTCCCTTCATTGTCTGATGCTCAGTGTCTTAACAACTAGCATTTCATATATTTATTATCTGGATTTTTGTTGCTCTAGGTGGAAGTGTAAATCTGATTCCTATAACTGCATCTCCTTTGGAAGCAGATCTGCCAGGGCTTTGCTTAGAAATTTCTAAGAAAAGTTTTTCTTTCTGGTAAAAAGAAACACGTGAGGACAAATTCCTATTTTTGCCTTCCTTTAACATTGGTTTTGTGATGATGTGGTGCTTGCAGCTATGGCAGCCATTGTGTGAGCACGAAGGCAGAGGCCATGGATGAAAGCCAACATGCTGAGGGTGATGGAGCAGATCATTAGAACATGCCTGGGTCCACAATGGCAGATAGATCAATGAACTCAACACTGGAGCAGTTTTGCCTCCTAATGCTTCATTATCTGAGCTATTACCGTGTTTCCCGGAAAATAAGACCTACCCCCAAAATAAGCCCTAGCAGGATTTCTATGCATTGATTAAATATAAGCCCTACCCCGATAATAAGACCTAGATACACTGCATAGCCACACCCTGCATTTCAGCTCGGAGCAGTAAGGAAGACTAGAATACCTTTTATTTGCCACAGCTCCTTTCTCCCAGCCATTTGCACTTGCACAGGTGCCCGTGTGATAACGCCGTCGCAGGCGTCCTATTGCGCACATGCAAAGGGCTAGGGAAAAGGAGTCCATGCATCACTAGCACCAGCCCCACCAACAAGGTCAGCTCCCCCATCAGGTTCCAGAAGAAGATGACTTAACTGTATTTGAGTAAGTGTAGATTGTTGTATTATACTTAATAAAAATAAGACATCCCCTGAAAATAAGCCCTAGTGTGTCTTCTTGAGAAAAAATAAATATAAGACAGTGTCTTATTTTGGGGGAAACATGGGGTACCTATCTCTGTTATTTAAGCTTCTCTTGGTTGGCTATTCTGTTATGTGCAACTCATGACATACCATTTGGTATAGTGTGGTACGCACATCCCTAATAGAATCTAAGACTGTATTAAGTCAGAGATTTTAACATTTTTTGAGCCATGGGTGGGTCCTTTGGCAGCTGGGGGAGACTATAGACTCCTTTTCAGAATAACGTTTTAAATGCACACAATAAAATGCATCAGATTACAGATGAAATTGTTCATAGTAATGAAATAAATTTGTGTATAGTAACCTGTGTTTCTTTTTAAACTCAATAAATGATAAGATCTAATAGAAAATCTAATAAGTAATAAGATTTAAAGGTAGAGCAGAGACAGAGGGGCAAGATGGCTAACTAGAGACATCTCTTCCCTGACTGTCCTGGAGGGAAGGAAGGCTTTCAGATAAAGGAGAGAGGACAGGGGATGCAGCTCAGGTGTAAGTCACAGAGAAAAGTGGCAGATCCTGCTGGGGACCTTGCAGAGGAAAATTGGGTAGCAGAAAAGAAGAGGATAAGGGATATTGGTGAGGATCAAACCCAGAGAGGTTCGAGCCCAATGAAGAGGAAAGGAGGGAATTCCTTTTTCCTTCCCATATTCCTTTGGTGACTAGCAGGCTACCAAGTGACTTGGAAGCTTTACCACTCCCATGAGCCAGTCACTGCAGCAACTGCAGAATTCTGAGGTGAACTTACGTGATCCTAGATCTTGGATGTTCTGTGAAGGGTTCCCCTTCAAGGAGGGTGACCTGAGAGTCTAGAGAGCCTGCCTTCCCCCAGTCAGACTCTTATCCTGCAACTGAGAGAAATTTGAGCCAAGAATTTGGTGAATGGCCACTTCTCTCCAGCTGGTGTACCCTCCAGCCTGAGAATCCTACAGAGGGTGGGGTCCACTCCTTCCCCTTTGAGGACCTGCAGTGGACCCCAAGGTACTCAACCTGGGAGCTCCCTGCCTCATGGCGTTTCTCAGAGACAGGACATGCAGGCCAGATCCCATTCCCCTAGGAATCAAGCTTGAGACAGTTGCAATATCCACATGTGATAATGACATACTATGTATCTATGATTTTTAGTGGTGACTGGTGGAAATATTGTGGTTTATTGTTTACATTCATTATTGAAGAAAATGCTAAAATTTTTATTAGCTGAAATAGAGTCCCTGAATTCTGTACTTGGACCCTATAGTGATTTATGTATTCTGGGTTAGGAAAGGCATTTTAGATGGAAGGTGAACAGTTTTTGAAAGCTTCAGAATTATGTATTTATTTTAATGTGTATTGAAAAACAATGTAACTAGTGCCTTACTCTCATAACTTCATGTGTATTCTTACTCCAGAGAAGGCTAAATTTCTAAGAAGTCATTTATGGTTGATTTAAACAAAAATATCAAGTAAATTATAGAACAGATGGTATGTGGATATGATGAAAATCGTGAAGATGTATATGATGTGGTGTAGGTCAGTGTCGGTGTCCCACCACACTCCACGTTCTTCTAGCCTTCATCTACATAATCATTCACTGTTTGGTGTTACATTACCAGAATTCAGGAAGTAAAGAAATTCACAGACTGATGGTTTTGAGGATATATGTGACTATATAGTCTTTTGACAGGAAAGGTTCCAAAAGTTTGTCTGGAGTCCATAGGTCCCCTAGAATTGGAAGGCAGTTACTCAAAACTATTTGTTATTGATCAGGCAGTCAAAACAAATGATTCCATCGTGGTTCCATCTATTAACAGTTCCCTACGGACTAGGATTTAAGGGGCAACAGAAAGCTGGGAATGGCCTCTGCCCTTTGCAGCGCCAGTGACTGCATAAGAAGAGTAGAGAGACGATTTTAGGGAAAAGATAAATTTTTATTCTTTGTCTTTTTCTTAGACATAGCCATCACTAGCTATGTGCATTGAGAATAAGAACTATTTCTCTGGTTGCCAAATTAGGGTGGCCAAGCTATCCTACCATTCTGAAAAGCTGATATGAGGCTTCTTGGTGTGTATATGTGCTAAACAACAGGGGCTGGTTTTGTGGTCTGTTACCGGCTCCCTACACAGACACATAACTCTTGTCCCTGTCCCCATCTCTCTGTAATCAGTATCTTCTCCAGAAAAATTGTATTGATCATGAATCTCTCCATAAATAGACTCTACTGGTAAAAGCTTTTCATTTCTCTTTGCCTTTCAGTCTCCTGGATGTGTGTCTTTTGCTTCTTCTTGAAGATGTCCATGTCTGGTAAGGCTCAGAGACAGATGTTGACATCACATCATAACCACCAGTGTGGTTTGGGTCATTTGTGGAATGGCTGCAGATGGTTATCATCTGGGGAACAGATTTGTGTGGCTCGTTTGATAAGAATGTTTGACCTCACCCGTCTCTATTTCTGATGCCTGCAGGTGTTTGGAGGAAATCCATTATAGACAGTCTCCAATCAGTCTAATTCATTTTGGCAAATATGTGTTAAGGCCTAACTAGATGCCTGACCCTCAAATAGAGGCGGAGCAAGACAAATCTCCGTCATTTTCTTCTTAAGGGAACTCACAGTGCAATGGGGGAGAGACGGGCAAGCAAAAAAAAAAAAAAAAGTCACAGCTCTATGACTATAATAGGGCAAATATGTAAATATTAGATAGATCGGAGAACGAAGGAGGGAAAGAGCTCTATTGATGAGAATGGGAGTAGAGATGAGAGCAAAAAAGAACAAATGTTGCTGAGGCCACCTCTGCGATATTCTCTCCCGTAGATTGTTTTTTGAAGCCTCTCACAGCTTGTCTGGAAAACGAGTTTTATAAAGATTGTTCTGTTACAGATAAAGAAATTGAGTTTCAGAATAAAAAACTTGCCCAATCCTTGGTAACTTTGCTACCGAGTCAGTAAGTAAGTAAGGTCGGTGGAGATATTAAATGTTTTAAATATTTCTTGATTCTATCAACTTCTTTCTATTTTCGTGGTTACTGCCCTGGTCCAAGCCACTGCTACCTTGTCTCTTCACTTTTGCAGTGGATTCTAGCTGGCCTCTAGGAAACCTCCTGAAATTCATTCCCCACCCGCTGAAAGCAGAGATATATTTTAACTCCGAACGTGTCCTTAAAACCTGCCAGTGGCTTCTCATTTTTCTTTATTTTGCTTTGGTGCTTCTTACAGTCTTCTTTCTGAGTGATACGTGATTTCTGCCTTTCATTTGCTCATATACAC